CCAAGAACAAAACCTAAAATGTTTTTCCTTTACCTAGTGATCCTGATAGCAAAGCACTTCCTGTCCTAAGGTGACAACACTCATTCACTGTACTATATTCATGGAGGAGCTGCATTGACACCTCACAGCAGGAAGTGTTAGGACTACAGAATACCTTCCCCACCTCTCTTCCCTATAACATAGAGGACAGGTGTACAGTTCTTCCAACACACTTCCGATCAACAAGTTATTTTGTGCACTTATTAAACAGATATAAAACACTATTAAGAGTATATTTAATAGCTTCACAGGGAGCAAATATGAGAAGTTAATTGTTAGAATCTACATATACTTTAAACAAATTCATGTATTAGCTGCACAATAATAGGATATATTTCTTTATATTGTTTTAATTGCAATCACCTATAAATACTAGTCCAACAATATCTGTGGCCATACTTCCCGTAAAATTGTATTTTATTCTACAAGCTCTTTCACATGGAGTGGAATCCACTCCAATTAGTAGGGGATATGTGAGCAGATTCCCTGCTGATCGGAGCAGAGCCTGTTCAGTTTCTTCAGTGCAGACCCCGCTCAGCTCTAGGGGTAGATGGGTATAAATGGACTCTGATGTCCTTTTCCATTTTTTTTTTTTACTGCAACTGATTGGATAGGAGGTAGGCAGGTGTAAACTGACACAAGTTCATTCATCTGTACTTAGGACTCCATGGACCTTCTGATCAGGTCCAACTGAAAAACTGACAGGCGTACCGGATCAGACCACCTATGTGAAATGTGAAAGGAGCCTTAGCTGTGTTATGCTAAGAAAGTGAAAACTTAAATGAAGCTATGTTGTTTTGGTGTCTGGCGTAATGTTCACTAGTGTTATTTATTGAAGTCTGTGGTTAAGCCTGTTGGTGTGTTACTTCTTGTATATGATTCACAAACATTTTCTTATCAAACTTGCCAGAGCTCAGTGCTGAAACCAAGATAAAAAGCAAGACAGAGGAAAACAGAAAGTCTACAATGACATCATGTTTCTTGGCAGGTTGCATATACTACCTCCTTTCAGAGCAGTATGTACATGATAAGTAAACAGAGATAAAACAGCAAAAATATTAGGAATGCCTTTCTGAGTCTTGTTTTACAAATATCACACAGATATCACATATCCATTTTTATGGTGAGTTGTGACAGTTTGCGTTACTGCACAGCTGTCCGTATCAGTCCTTAAATGTCCTAGGAAATAGATGCATTTTTAGGCCTTCAGACATGCATGGGAAATAACTGCTATAGGCTCCATGTACACTGCAGCTGATAAACTCACGTTTAGGAGCTTTTCTGCGTTTTTTTCAGCAGCCCCTGAACTCTCCCTAATGTTTTCCTATGTGTCCATGTACATTATGTCATTTACAGTCATTTACAGGCAGTTGAGTTTACAGTAGTTTTTTTAAACAAAACAAACTTGCGTTCAGGAGTAGATTTTATCAACGTTTCAAATGCTTGTAAACATGTGTAAACGCGGCTAACCTTGTTTATAAGCATTTGCGTTTGGAATTTTTTTTTAACTCTTCCATTTCCAGATGCTGCCCAGAGCCTTTTTTCATCATGAAAAATGCATGCAAAGTGTTTTACCGTTAATCAAATAGACCAGGTACACCATACTTTGTGGTTTAGCATGAAAGAAAATATGTTAGACACTGCTGCAATAATTTCTGCACAGAAATGAGCTGGAACACATCCAAACACCACAAAAAAAAGACAGCTAATCTCAACAAATACTGCTCTCTCTGCTTCTGCTCTCTCTATTTATCTCAAAATGTATGAAACAGTTAATTTTTGCCTGTTTTTCAGTGCATTCTGGGCATTTTGGAAGGTCTCCTGAGGTTATCTTTTAAAAAACGCTTTTAAACGCAAATACTCATAAACACGGTATGCAAACATGGCTAAACAGACTTTTTTTTTGACCTACGTTTTCCAGCAGTCAGTTTCCATCGTTCAGAAGTGTCCCATGTACATGGAGCCTTAGGATTAAAGTATTAGTAAAAAGGCTTTAAAGCCCAACTCCAGGAGACCTAAAAATTCTCCCTTGTAGTGGGTCTGCACCAGGGGCGGAACTGACCATTTGGAAACTCGGGCACTGCACGAGGGCCCAGGGTCATTAGGGGGCCCCATGAGATGCCCCTGGTATCTTTTTCATAGGCTTTTTTGAGTTTGTGCAAGGACACAGGTGCCCCATGATCCCCTATTGCCCAGGGGCCCCATGAGTTGTCAGTCCGCCCCTGGTCTGCACCTGCACTACAAGGGTTAACTTATTTTTTAGTCTAGGGAACAATAAAAGCACTTTTGCTTCCACTCCCTCCATACTCCAGCAGTGGACTGACCTTTGGTGTCCTCATGGCCCATGCAGGGCTATGGACCCTACATGGGTCTTGATGACATCAGAGGACCTTAGACCTTTGGAGCATAAGGGCGAAGAGGCTGTGGGGATAAGTCTTGCAGCCAGGGCACAGGATTAGATATGTAAATCTGCTTTTCCAGATCCCATTGATGTAGACAAAACAGTTAACCCTTGCATTGCAGTTACAGCACCACTGTAAGGGAAAATGTATAGGTTTTCTAGAGCTCAGCATTAAGCAAAGTGTGGCACCTTTATAATGCCATACTTGTGTTTAAAAGATTAGCCTTTACAATGTACTAAAGCAGCCATTCTCAACCTTTTTTTTATCTTGAAAAAACCCTTAAAATAACTTCTCAGTCTCAGGCAAACCCTACTAATAATTACTATGTCCGCAGCTCTTTGTACATTATTGTGATGGTCTGTGGGAATAATGGTTCTTACATTTGTGGTCATCATAAACTAACAACCTCCTTACAAGTAGATACAAGTAGATAAAAATATCTGGTGTCAGTGGTTACTTATTTGTGAGGCAGAAATTGTTCTTTGCACAAGGAACCCCTATCAACCTCTCGAAGAACCCTAAGGTTCCATGGAACACTGAGAAAGATTGTAATAAAAGAATAGAATTTCTTGACATCTGGCAAAAATATTTATCCATGGATCTTGGACTGTTTTTGCTGGTGATGAGTTTACAAAGATCCCTGCATGACATTTGTTATCTTTTGTTTGCACTTTGTTATACATGTATTTGATTTTGTCACGTGATGAAGTGGTATATTTGGTGTGTATTTTATAGCAGTGGGAATAAATGGTTTCTGGAGTTAATCCACCTATGTTTTAAAGTATTAGATTAGGTATCACTGACAGGAAATAAATACAGCATATGAATTTGTTTACTTATAGTTTACATCTTACAGAATGGAAAGTCTTCCATTATCTCAGAATTTCTTCAGATATTTATCAAGGATTTTCTTTCCTAATGCACATCCATGACTGGTAATGCTATCCATCTGACATTGTATTAGAGTGAAGGAATGGATAATAGTTGGTGCTTGTGTTGATGTGCAAAAGCGACATGCTTGAGGGGTGTTCAGCTTGCATTTGAGATTTCTGATTTGCCTTTTCTGTTGCTTGTGCTGCCAGTCTTTAAGATAGTAGGGAGAACTTGGCAGCTCAAGAATCTTCAGAAATCTACACTACCACAAGTGTCAAGTGCTTGGTGCCCTGCTGTGTGCTGTGATTTGAGCTGCGGACCATTATGTCATTACCTTGAAATGTAGTGATGTAGGGGCAGGCATTTCTGAACACCCCTGGTGACCAGAAAATTGACACTGGTAGAAGTGTTAATTCATGAAGATTCTATAGATGGTGACTTCTTCTACCACAGAGATCGGAGGCATGGGCAGCTATATTTAAGGTTTTAGTTTTAGCAGAGAGTCCTGCAAAGGATAACTAAACCCAGAAACAAAAATGTAATAAACTGTGGCCTACCAGTCATTAGATATGGCAGTTGCATTAGCCATCTTTTTTAGTAAAACATTGTTTTCAGCAAGTACAGAAAATATCTGTTGATCTTATCATAAATGCAGGACCCTTTTCACTTCCTGTGAGCTTAAGAGAGAACTCCGGGCAGAAATGTTTTGATATATATACAGTGTATATATACTATATTGTCTTAGTACTTAGGGTTCAATATTGAGTCGGTCCACCTTTTGCAGCTATAACAACTTCGACTCTTCTGAGAAGGCTGCCTACAAGGTTTAGAAGTGTGTCTATGGGAATGTTTGACCATTCTTCCAGAAGCGCATTTGTAAGGTCAGGCACTGATGTCAGATGAGAAGGCCCAGCTCGCAGTCTCTGCTCTAATTCATCCCAAAGGTGTTCTGTCGGGTTGAGGTCAGAACTCTGTGGAGGCCAGTCAAGTTCCTCCTCCCCAAACTCGCTCATCCATGTCTTTATGGACCCTACCTTGTGCACTGGTGCGCATTGATGTTGGAACAGGAAGGGGCCATCCCCAAACTGTTCCCACAAAGTTGGGAGCATGAAATTGTCCAAAATGTCTCGTTATGTTGACGCCTTAAGAGTTCCCTTCACTGGAACTAAGGGGTCAAGCCCAACCCCTGAAAAACAACACCACACTATAATCTCCCTTCCACCAAAAACTTTACACTTGTCACAATGCAGTCAGGATCATGTCCATCAGATTGCCAGACAGAGAAGCGTGATTCGTTACTCCAGAGAACACGTCTCCACTGCTCTCTATACACTGTTGTGCTAATCTGAAGGCCACACAAAGTTTGGAGGTATTTAGCTATTGACACTGCAGACAGTTGGAGACTTCGGCACACTGTGAGCTTCAGCATGCACTGACCCCACTCTGTCATTTTAAATGGGCTACCACTTCGTGGTTCAGTTGCTTCCACTTTGTTATAATACCACTAACAGCTGACAGTGGAATATTTAGTAACAAGGAAATTTCACGGGTAGACTTATTGCACAGGTGACAACCTATCACGGTACCATGCTTGAATTCACCAAGCTCCTAAGTTTGATCCATTCATTCACAAATGTTTTTTTGAAGCAGTCTGCATGCCTAGATGCTTGTCGTTATACAGTACACCTGTGGCCATGGAGGTGATTGGAACACCTGAATCCAATTATTTGGAAGGGGTGTCCCAATACTTATGGCAATATAGTGTATATGTGTGTTTTCCATACTTTTAAATAATTGCTTGGTGTTATAGTGCACAGTCATCTTGTTAGTCAGAAACCCAGCCTTGTCTGTGCTGTGATGAGCTCTCTCTTCCCCTTATATCCTGTTCATAAGACTGGTAACCACTGTGTCCTCTATCCCTTTTGCAACTGGTCTTGTACATTTGTAAATCACGTAGTGCAGCGCTAAAATTATATAAAACTCTAAAACCAAGCAAATAAATATAAATATAGACGCCTGAGGCTGAAAATTCACAATAAAATTGCTGGTAAAGCCCTTGAATCATAAAAAAATATAGTAATAATAAATAAATATAAATAAAAACACGTATTCTGTATTCAATGTCCAGTCAAACCATGCACTAAAATAAATAAATGAATAAATGTTCAATATAGGTGCAGGAAAATTATTCTGGATAGGTGACTCTGATAATCCCAGTGAAGCATATAATCCGGTTACATGCAGGAAAATAATAAAATTGCACACTCACCAGAGGCACAATTTATATGCGCATTAATATCAATGAACCAGAGGTCCCCTCTGTCCTGGAAAGGATGCAGCCTGGAATGGATAACCTGTTCTGTGGATAAGAGCAGTAGGATGTCACTTCTAGAGGTCCCCTTTAAAGGTACACTGCGGTGGGGGTCTGCTATGGATCTCTCTCCTCTGGGTCCCGGGATGGTCACCTGGGATTCTGGGGGATTAAATGCTCGGTGCAGAGCAAAAAATGGTGCCCATAGTGTAGTATTTCAAATTAAGAGAAATTTATTATGTTGATTATAATAAAATAAGATGCACATACATTTGTAAAACATCCTCCATAGATAAACAAGTAAGTAGTTTAAAATAGCAAGTATGATCCTCATAGAATGTATGCATGCAGCATAGAGCTGCTCTGTGCAACTAACCAGCTGGATTGTAAAGATGGCCGCCGGACCTCCGTGTTCCAGCGGCGAGATGTCACGGCGTGTGAGGCTCCTCCTTAACGCGTTTCGTACATAATGTACATTATCAAAAGGGGTGTGCCGTGGTCGTTCCCCCTTTAGTTCTCAGTAAGTGAGTAGTGACGTGAATACATCATTGCTTGCTGCAGTGGAGGGATCAGGGATCATAGAGTCTCAGACTCCCAGTCTGATCCTTCCACTGTGCAGCATAGATTGACATGCCAGGAATTCAATCCATCTCATTCATGCCCACATGATTAAGGCCCTGTTGGGCTGAAACGTTAAAGCACTGAGGAAAAATATGGAATTTGTATTCTTTGTCCAATAAAGATATTCATGTTATTTTGGGATTAAATGCCAGTTTCAATGGTACAGTACTATTATGGCGGACAAGAGCTTAAACCCCAGCACTGATTACTCTCGCTGTCATTATGGACTACTTGGGTTAAGTGCAATGAGTTTCTTTTGTTTACCCTTTCAATGGGCATTTCCTCTTGCTGCCTGCTATTCAAGAGAGAATAGAGTGTGAGAAGCAGCAGTAACCTAAAGGCAGATGTGCTTTTTTTTTTTTCACTTTATAGTACTTTTTTGGTATCATTAAACTAGCATTTTCTGTATATAATAAGCTGTGTTTCTGTGAAATAAGCAAATAAATGTAAAAGTTAGGTTTTTTTTTTTTGTAGGTTTCAATATTGCAATATGCCCTTAATATATTGGGCTTTCTGACCTCATTTGAAGCTAAGTGAAGTTCACCTGTGTTCGCTCTATACATCCAATTATTTGCAAGCGACTTTAAAAATAGAACTTCTCCAGAGTTGATTGTCTGTCTGAAGTGAACATAGGTCCACTACATTTCACTTCATTGCACTACCTGGCTTCACACTTAGTAAATCAGGCCCGCCGCTGTGTTCTTTAGGAGCCCAGCAGTGTTAGTTAGAAACAGATTTATAGACATGATTTGATATTGCTGCAGAGTCCTGCTAGGAACATGGAAATAAAAGAACAATCAGAGGAATATTAAAATTCAATAGAAAATAGTAAATGGAAACAGATTTTTAGCGTATTCAAGAAAACAACAGATGATGGTGACAGATATAGAAGGGAAGAAACGGCAAAATAATCAGTGACAGTTGGTAAAAAGAGATGTGAACAATGTGGGCACAAGATGCTACAGAAATAGCTACTTTTCAATTATAAATGTACAATGCAAATACATTTCTTTGTAGAGAAATATCAATGAGTCAGTTGTATTTGGGTATGTGATACTAATAATGATTGTACTGTCATCTAAAACACAAAAAATAATATAAATTCTTCTTCTTAATCAAAAGTCGAATAATTTACTTTTAGTGAAAGGCTCCTGAGCTCCTAGTGAAAGGGAGTCTTGGCTGATGGAAGCATGGCTCATTAGAGTGGGACATACTAATAATGCAGATAAGCTTGAAGTAGTTCAGTCATGATTTGTTGCTATGGCATGGAGTTAAGGAGTTATGTCTGAACTCCAGTCAAGGCTACACTGCGGTAGCCACTACTGACCTCAAGACCTTAATCCCTCATAAGGATAGCCCACCCAATGGCAGTCACAACTTTATTGGTGGTTTGACATTGGCAGCAGGTAAGATTCATTTAATGGTCTAGGCCCTCAATCTTGTTTTTGGGCTGGTTTATTACATATTCAGCTCTGATGGTAAGGACAGGCTTTTTGGATTATTGCAGGTTACTGTTCAGGTGTTCTCACAGTAAACTATGATTGGCACTGGTTTTGTTGTTATTATGGAAATTCAGTAAAGCTGAGACTTACCATTTTACAACTTAACCTGCCATCTTTAGGCAAAGGTAGATATTGTACTTGGTTATGGCTCTAGGTCTTTGCTTCTCATCAGTCATGGAGTCTGGAGAATGCCAAGCCTAGAGAGGCCCCAAACGCATGTAGTCACTGGTCAGACAGAATAGCAATACTCATTATAGAAAATCTCTAGGCAGGCATGTAGCCCTTAACAGTTTAAGGTTAAACTATGAACAACAAAAAAATTACATATATGATATATATAAGTCTATCACTAGCTTTAAAAGAGAAGTTCAGGAATAAAAATAAATAAATAAATAAACACACATACTCAGCTAGATGTCTGCAGGATAGATAAGATGCTGCAGCTTTCCCCTGCCAACTCTACACTGAGAAAGGAGCGATCAAAGACCACTGAACACTCAGTTCTTGGGTCCACTTTGAGTACAGAGCAGAGACTGACAGTCCCTGCTCTGTGCTCTGCCCTTCTAGCAGTCAGTGAAGCGCTGGACTATGCGAGAGTCGGGAACGGCTACCTCAGGCTGTCAGCAGCAACCCAACAACATCTCTGAAAGCCTGGACTGGCTCTGTGACATCATATAAAGCTGCTGTTAGCTAAATATGGGTCACAGGAGTGCAGAACTTAGTGCACTCCTGTGACCCACAGGAGAAGTATGGTCAAAAGGGCTATTAGATCTCACCAACCCAGAGGCAGCTCAAATGCCGACAGCCAACATTTTGAGGAGGTGCTCTCTATGAACCTCTATTTCCTAATAGTGGCAGGATCCCCTCTGATGACCAACGAGTCTCTGTTGCTGTGATTCTTGAAAAGAGAAGCAGGGATGGCTGCATCAGTGCAGTTTTTCAAATATTTGGTTAAACCACAATGGCCATACCCAGCTGCAGACAGTACTCACAAGCAGCACCTAAACCAATTATTTTTCTGATTACCTTGAGTCTAGAGAAGCAATAGACAGTCCATACTTTAGTCCATAAACTACTGGGTATCCAAGCTGAACCACTGGCATAGTATGTGCTGCATTTTCTTGCCTGCCCTGTAGCCAATCTATTCCTCAGAGGGCCTTCAGAACAGTAGAAGGTTGTGTTACAAAGAGGTAAATCCACTTGTCCCCTGACAGTGCAGACTGGTTAAAATTAACCAGTCTTGAGTTAGCAATGACTAGAAAGCCACTGCTGCTGATTGATGCTACAGACTATATTTAATTATCATCTGTCTCCCCCCCAAACAAGGATACCTGCCACCATTGAGCTCCTGTCATCTCTTCCTCGTCTATTCCAGTGCTCTGCAACTGTAAAGATGCCACACAGTGTTTCAACACCTGGACCTAAGTTTCCAGATTTTTACTGTTTACTGCAGGGTAAATCCTGAAATGAGTCTCAATGTTTGTAGCCTACAGCTTTACAGCCTACTGTTCAGCCATTAAATGATATTTGAGGCTACTGGCTCTTAGATAATACACTCTAATTTTAACTACAGGAAAAGTCTGCCTTGTCCCCCTTCCTAAATTGTGTCCTAACCAAGCTGCTTACATACTATCCAGTCACTGTACAATATTTGCAGGTACTATTTTTTTGATTATACATTCCAATGTGCATTTCAAGATCAATCCTGCCTTGTCTTTCTGTCTTATGTTGCAGCCTAACCAAACTGCTTTCTTTCTACTGTCTAGCCACTGAACAATATTTGTGGATATTGTCTCTCAGATAATACACTCTTTTACTGATAAAAATATAAAAACTACCTTTTCTCTTTTTATTTGTTACCTATTCAGCTGCTCGCTTACTTTCCCGAAGCTAGCCAATTTCTACCAAACACACAGCTGAAGTCTATTTTTTCATGGGGTTCATGGAATGGTACGTTGTGGGTTTGAATTGTTGTGCTCTGTTTTCACATTGTACTAAACATGTAAGACAATGTAGCATGGTACTGTGAATAAAGAAGCTTGCAAATTATCCTAGTAAACTTTTTTGCCATTGACCAATTTGAATGAAAGTTGAGGGCTTAAGCTTTAATTTTTTTTAGAGTAAACTTTCCAATAACTAAAATCTATCTAACATGTCAGATGAGCTAACAAAAATAATCAGCATTGAGGTGTCATTCAAAATATGTATTAAAACAAAACCTAATGGGGCTCCATCCATCCCATGGATAACACTATCCAATAGCTTTTAGATATGTAATGGCTATTACGTCCATCGGTCAGTTCAGGCCTATTACCCCATGGTAAAAAAATCAGGTG